AAACAAGGCAAAAAATGTGTGCAAATTGTGGAGGCAAAACTGTTTAAGGTGTGCTTCAAGGGACAGGAGGAGAGACATCTCGTGGGACTGGAGGGGCTGTGAGGCAGAACAGTGGGTGATAAGGTTAGAAGAGAGGTAAAGACTAGTTTGTGGAGGCCTTGACTGCAAGGAGAATGTGGATGGCTTCTAACCAGGGAATGGTCATGATGACATCATGTAATCTGGAAAAGAAAACCTAGGACAGCATATGGGAGGACGTGGAGGAAGGAGAGGCGGGGAACAGGACAATGAGTCTGTAGTCCAACCTGAAGGATTAAGGCTGGCACTTTGGGGAAAATAGTCAGAACTGAAAGGACAAGTCCAAAGGAAGAAGCCGTATGAGAGAGAGGTCAACAGAACATGGCCATCAATGAGTTAGTAGAGGCCTGAGGAAGAGAAGTGAAAAATGATGAGCTCAAGCTCAGATGATACAAAGAATGATGGCACATTCTCATACTCATCCATCCATCCATCAAAAATATTTTTGAACTCCTACTAAATGCCGGTTCTGAGAAAAAACAGCAGAGAATAAAATACATAGATCTGTGAGCTCTACCTTCTTGGAGGTTATCCTCCATAGCGAAAGAATGGTCAGGAGGAAGAAAAAGGCTTGGAAGATCATGAGTTGGCTTGTGGTCATGTTGGCTGTGAAGTGACGTCAAGTCTTCTGTGGACAGTGAGGATGGAGCATCTTCTCTTTGTTAAGGAATTTTTGAATCTGGCACCCCGTCCTGTTCCTGTCAGTCTTGAATGACTTTGGTAAAGTCACACTTCACACTCATCTCTGGGCCTCAGTTTCTTTTGCTTTAATAAGAGGGAGGTAGATAAAATAATCTTACAGCCTTATGAGGAAATGGCATGTGGGTAATTGGAGATACAAAACTGGAACTAAGAAGCAAAATCAGGGAAGGGAAGCATTGGGGTAGAGGTGATAATTGAATTTGTACATTTAAATATGCATTGGTGCATGTAAAATAGGAGACGCTTTACAGAAATTAAGTTTGCATAAAACCTATTAAGAAAACACTCTTCCTACTACCAAACCTCAATTTCCCACATGTGAATTGTCTATATTGTGGATTATGAATAGCAAATTTTAGATCTCAGGAACACAGATCTCTGTTATCAGCATGTTTGAGAACCACCTCTCAGCCCCCAGTCTCTTCCATCACATCACTTTGTGTGAGCTTGGAGAATTTAACGCTATTCTACTACACCTACTCCTCACTTATCAACTATCTCGTAATCTGACATTTAACCTTTACAATAATAGTAAAAAGTCTACTATCCAATTATTTTGTGCGTTAACGACATACATCCGGCAGTAACCTTTTCATGACCAGTGGGACATATCATCACTATGAGTCAGAATCGACTTGATGGCAACGGGTTTGGTTTGGTTTTGGGGACATATAGTGCCTACCTACATTTTCCACCTCTCGAGTCCAGAGGGACATGTGTATCCCACATAATATTTTCTGATCTGATGTGGTCATTCCCCATATTTGCCATAACGCTGATTTTTGCACAATGACCTGCGCTTTGGAACCTAACCATGTTGCTAAGTGAAAAGTAGGTGTATTACCTTGAGAAAATACAAATAGAAGCTAAATTATTGGAGCATCAGGCTTAAAACTAAATGATATGTGAAATGACAACTAATTGAACCTATCCATGACACCATATGCATCATTAAGAAGAGAAAATCAAGGATTGTTTATTTTATTTAGTTTTTTAGTTTTGACATGGATTTTCTTTGCTTGTCCTGACATTTTTCAAGAAGGAATAGTCTCTGCTACCTCTGTTTACCAGGTGACAAAATTAAGTTTTAATCA